GAATGACCGAGGTTTACCTCAAAGTGAACAGAGGTCTCCATAGAGGTTGCGAGTCGCAACCTAACCACACAGCGTGCTCCCTAAATTCAGCTCTGAGACTCCTTAGCACTTTGTACTTCGGTGGTCGCTTCAGAGCAGGATGGCAACATTCCCTGGAAATTCCTTGCTTCCGTTAACATTTCTTGCGGTTTTATTAGGTTGCCGCCATTGAGCGCCCGTTCGGTCGTTGCGCTCATTTGTTCTCAATGGAATCTGGTTCTTATCGTTAGCGCCCTAGTTCAAGTCAAATAATGAAATTCCTTTATGCACCCAGGACAGGTGAATATTCAGCTACAATAACAGAACGCTGTCGACATTGTACTAAAAGAACGAATTACAATACAACGTAATAAGAAATGAGTCGCTGGAATATAGGGACATCAACATGTTAGTTTTGTTACGGCAGTATTGGGTGGAGCAAAAATGCGATAGAGTAATGAGCGGCAGGCTTGTGTGCGGGATTATAGAAAAATTTTGCACTTCTCTCTGGCAAACAAAGCTGGTGGTGATAGCTGTGACAGACAGCCTTTACCGGAGCGGCATTTAATCGTGGATGTATACTTTAACGGAAGTTATAGCTACAAAAAGCTCCTAAGCATTCTCTGCCAATTGAAATTGGCGGCCTCTTAGGCTGGAGTTGTGCATGTCTGTCTCCATGGACAGTGTTGTAGGTATGTGTCATTTATATCGCCTGGGAGTTGATGTGCTTGTGTAGAAACACCTTCAGCATCAGTGCCACATTCCACCATCCGGTGCGTCGTGTTAAACTCCTCATCGTAACTATCGTTAATTGTTCAACCTCGATGGAACTCAAGACGAACGAGATTGTGTCTTTGTAGCTGTTCCCTGTATGGATCGTGTATTCATACGGAGGTTCGAACAAACTACAATACGGTGTAATATGAAACGAGTTGCTGGAATATAGGGACATCAGCAAGTTAATTTTGTGACGACACTATTCGGTGTGGCAAAAGTGCGATAGAAATGAGCGATGGGTTTGTGTGCGGGCTTATATAAAAGCTTGTACTTCTTTCTGGCAAACAAAGCTGGAAGTTCGAAGTCTGCATTCAGAAATTGGCATTGCTTTATGAAACAAGCGAGAACCACGGAGTTCATCGTTTTGCAAACCGCAGCCTCAGATCTCAACCTCTAAGTCCAAACCCGAAGCTAGTACATCTCTATCCGAAACGTTCGAACACTTGAAATATAAGTTATGAGGTGTATTGTCAAAGGGGGCAATACCAATTCTATCGGCAGATAGATATGCTGATTCGACGAGGTGCAACAGTTCAAGGGTAATCAGAAGTTCAGCTGACATTTCTTCATCCCTAATTCCCTTTGTGCATCTGTGTTGCTCGCGAAATATTCTACTTATTTGTTAAATGCATGCATGGCGCAATGGTAATTAATTGCTTTTGTATTAGAAGTAACACATTTGCTGCATATCGTCTTACATTGCAGCTGCCAGACAACGGGCAACACCTGGGAGAGACGCCAAATCAGGTCTTTTTGCATCGACACACTCAAGCGATGGAGTCAGCATGACGCTTCTGATGTTAGTGGCCTTTTGCTGCTTCTTCGTAGGAGCATTTGTTCCGACGGTAACGTTCCTCCTGTTTCCACTGTCCTGTAACCGAACGGGTACAAAGCATCATTCCAAAGTCCGCCCCAGCTATCACAAGAGACGCTTTTGCGGCTGCTTGAGAACATACCTCGACCGCCCGTCCATCTACATCACCGACGCAGATAAGCCCTGGTGTGACGACAACGACTTGACGGATCCCCAGGGACTGCTTAATAATTCTCTGCACAAAGATGTTGGGTATTACAAAATTCCAAATGGAGCTTCTTCTTTAAAGGGATC